CCCTGCCACTCCCTTTGGCTTTCACTTGGTTTTCACATGTTAAAGTCATCACACATGTTTTATTGCATCATTTCAGTAAGTTGTTTTAAGGTTTCACTTCCACAGTTTAGTATTTTATATTTGTGCTTTTGCATCTATTTGCTCCTTTTTTGTTCTATTAACAATTAAGAAGTTTTTACAGCTCTTAATGAGCAAACGCTTGACTTCAGCTATCATCCATCTTACAATTACACAGGAAAATGGGGAGAGTAATTTTTCCAGAGTTAACTTTATTTTCCTCTAAAAGAGTCATTTTCACTCATTTTGGATTGTAATCATTTCGATTGGCCGCCAGAGTTGGAGCAAAAGAACAGAGGAAATTCCCATGGAGTAATATGGCGTGACCACGCCCACTACCCCTCAGTGGAACAGAGACAACTGTCAGCGGTGAGCCAGGTAAGTGAGTAAAGTGCTCAATAATGATTGAATTTAGGATGAAATGGGGGATTTGTGTTTATCTGAAAGGTCTGTGAGTAACATTACAGCTTGAGAGTTTGTGGCTCTTACATGCTGCATAATTGGCAAGGTTGACACTTATGTTAGCTTCTGCTAAATTAATGTCATTAGACTCACAGACAGCATTAAGGTATATATCACTAAACTAAGTTTAGCATTGCTCAATAGCTGCTTTAGGTAGGATAACTGACTGAGTAGTGTGTTTGTAGCAAATCCAGTGCACCAATGTTTTATCCAAAGGTCGGTGAGCACATGTTTTACTCCAAACTGAGTCATGAAAATTGACGTTTTTTACCTGATGTTCTGTTAGTAATATGTGTGTTTTATCGAGGATTGACGTTTGTGGATGTTTCACCTGTTCAGTTAGAGAGCACGTGTGGTTTACTCTGAACTGAGTCACATACACGACTGTTTTCGTCTGATCGTTGGTTAGGAGCATGTGTGTTTAATGGAGTGAACCTTGTACGTGTACTGCTGTTATATGGGCTCAAAATGTGGTCATAAATATTTTGTACTTGTAAATCAGGATTTGTATGTGTAAAAAGAATTTGTGTGTGTGTAAAAAAGATCGTTACATTTGTGATTGACATGACATTGACCAATCAGATGAAAGGAAGAAAAATAGGGTCAAAATTCGTACTTGTAACTTGCAGGGTTTTTTTTGGCTGAGTCCACACACAAATTCTTCTTACACGTACAAAACTGATTTACAAGTACAAAATATTTATGACCACATTTTGAGCCCATACTGTTAGTTTAGCAGGCACGCGTGTTTTACTCGAATTGAAAAGCATACATGGTTGCAGTCTGCACAAGTGTGCAGTTTTAGATGTTTCTTAAGCCCTTTGTGTTTTGTGTGTGCCTGTGTTTTGTTCAATTTTGTAAGTATTTGTAGTAAATCTAATTATTTAAAAATATCCTTTTCATATCATGAAGGATGTGAGCTGTGCGTGTGAAGTACAGAGAGCAACAGAAGTGCATCAGTTTTGAGGGCCAGCTGACCTACAGATCATTTCTGGAACGCGGTGAGTAAAAAACGTCAACGTTTCCTGCGTGTTTCATGGTGTGAATCAGTCAAGCTTTGGGATGATGTTATAATAGCTGCAATACCAACTGTTTGGGTTTATTTTGTTCAATTAAGTTAATTTCACTTTCTTTGCCTTGTTCTGGTGTTTATTTCAAATGTATAATGCAATTTTATTATGTTCACAGTTGCCAAGAAGTTCAACATCCCGAACATGTGGCTTCTCTAAGATACCGAAACCAAAAACAAGGGGCACAAGAGTCCAAAACCAGTCCAAAAACACAAGAAAACAGCCCATGAACACAGGAAAACAGATCAAAAACAAAACCAAACTAGAGCTCAACAAGAGTCCAAGAAAAGTTCAGGGGGTCGACCCGGGGGTCGACAACACAAGGACGAAGACAGTTCTGGAGGCCGGCCGTGCACACGGCAACGGCGGCGAGGGCAAACAGTTCTGGAGGCCGACCTGTGCACACGGCAACAGGCGGCGAACGCGGCAAACAATCTAGGAGGCCGACCACTTGGAAGGCAGTGGCGGCCCTAAGCAGGTCCGAGGCGTCCCCGAAGGCCATGATGCCAACTAGAGGCCTGGAAAACGGCCGGCAGAGGCGAAGCGGAACAGGTCGAGCTGGCTCTGACGGCGGTGTGGCAACCGCAGGACCAGACGAGGCAGGACCAGACGAAGACGAAGGCGAGGCAGGACCAGACGAAGACGAAGACAGAGCGCGGAGCTGCGGACCAGACGGCGTGAGCTGAGGCTGGACCAGGACGTAGATGACAGGCACGGAGGCTGACCAGGCGTGGATGAAGACACAGAGGCTGGACCAGGCGTGGATGAAGACACAGAGGCTGGACCAGGCGGCAGCGGGACGGCTGCGGAACCTGACGGCAGCGGGACGGCTGCGGATCCTGACGGCGTCGATGCTGCAGGCGGTGATGTAGAAGTCGCGGGGGATGATTCAGCAGATGACGGCTGAACAGACTTCCCCGGACCGTCAGCAGACGTGAGGATGTGCTTGCTGGGTCCTCCAGGACCCCCAGCAGACGAAGCGTGGTGCTGGGTGGGCTCCTCGGACCCACCAGCTGACTTGGCTTGAAGCCGGGCGGGCGACTCGGACGCACCAGCAGACGACACTTGAGGCTGGCTGGGTTCTCCTGAACCCCCAGCAGACGACACTTGAGGCAGGACGGGCTCCTCAGGCCCTCCAGCCGACGAGGCAGGACGCTAGCTGGGTTCACCTGAACCCCCAGCTAACATGGCTTGAGACTGGACGGGCTCCTCGGGCCCTCCAATGGAGACAGACACTGAAGCAGCAGGTACGGAGACCTCTGCCAGTGTGGACACTGGCTGGGACTGAGCAGCACAGTGGCTAGACTCAGGCAGCAACAGTTGGATGCAGTCCTCAGAGGGCTGGAAGTGTTCCCCAATACACTCAGCAGAGGACGGAGGCGGACGGGTGAACACACTTGAACTCTCAGGGGGTGCTGAGAGCTGAGACTGTTCTGGTGAGCTCCCCGGTGAGGCTGCTGGCGCTGGCGTCTTGACCTCTAGGGGTCCAGAGTTGGTTGGTGACTGACACCCAGCCTCTGGGGAGGCCCTAGAGGGAGCAACTGTCTCTGACATGGCCAGCTTAAGAGAACCAGCAGATATTGTGGTGATGTGTGTTCCCTGCTTTGAATGAGACAGTGAGGATGGTGGCTGAATGAGCGAGTGGGTAGGCTGCTGAACTGGTGGCAACTGAGCTACAGGTGGCGAAGTTGTAACAGGTGGTGGAGTGGCTGGCTGGACTGAGGGCAGCTGGGCTGCTGGCTGAACTGATAACTGTACTGCTAACTGTGTTACAGGCCCCACATTAACTTGTGGTGAAGGTGTGGATGGGGGGATATGGTCAGGAAAAACTGTTTCGGGGAAGTTTATTGCTTTACCTGAAGGAACCGATGCGGACGAAAAGGCTCCCCTAACATAGTCATTCCCTAAACTCGTGGTGCTTGACTCAGTAACTCCAGGTTTAGAAACAACAGCGTGAACACAGTCATTAACCCTGAATGTGGGCTCAGTAAAGGCAGTCTTTGGAGCAGTGGCCATGGGTGAGACGGAAAAATTATTGTTATATTCAGAAGACACACAAAAAATAGCTCCAGAAAACACAGTCACAGAGTCTGACGCAGCAGAAAAACTGTCCCTTTCACTCACCACAGCCGACTGCTTACTCCCTACATCCGGCTGTGGGGTGCCGCGCCGGCGGCGCGAACGTCGCTTTCGTCTCGGAGACGGCTCCGACGGACCGGGTAATTCCTCGTCCGGCCGGTCGGACGGCACGTCCTCCATTGAAGCGAGTGGGCGAGCAGTAGCGGCGGGAGGGTGAAGGTGAAGCTCGTGAAGAACAAAATTCTGTACGAGCGGATGCAGTGAGTCCAATAACCAGGGGTAACTGGAAATAAGGTGTTGTAGGTTGGCTTCCACAGTGTAAAGAGACGCTTCTCCCTCATGCTCTAACCACTGGTTGATTAATTTAGAAGCAGAGTCGATAACGGCCTCCTGAAGCTCCCTGGGTGGGCTGAATGCCGCTGGATCCATATCTGGCTGGTCCGTACTGTCACGGCGAGTGAGATGAGCCGCGTGGAAAATAAAGGAGGATCCAAACGCAGGCACTTGTACAGGTGTGAGGGTGGTTTATCAAACACAAAAGGAAATGGCCAAACGGCGAACGGAGCAAAGACTAAACTAAACTGGGAACAAACTAACTACAGAACACGAACCTGGACATGAATGAGAGCGGGTGGAAACAGATGATGGTTGACTGCAGGGAAACACACAGATGAAGCAGGGTGGAAACACAGACGGACCAGCAACTACAATGACAGAGGACACGACTTAAATACACACAGAGAAACACAGGGGAATTACACACAGCTGGGAATAATCAACAAGACGAGACAGAGGTAAAACTGAACACACTCACATGAGACGCAGACCTTCACAATAAAACAGGAAACGAGAACACTACACCAAGACGCAGACCTGACACTGAGAGACAGACAGACAGAATGACACATGGAACCTGAACCAAACTAAACGTGAGATACAACCGAGAACAAATCCTTAAACATGAATAAACAGAAACATAGAATTCTAATAATAATAATAATAATAATAATAATAATACTCATAGCGCCCAAAACCACAACAAACATTCAAAAATAAACTAATCAATCAAAACTCAAAATACTGGGTCGAAACTGACCCAGAGCCGTGACAACATGTATACTTCAAACAGGACCACTGTTGCATAGCTGGTGCAATGAAGCAAAACACTTTGAAAAAACAATTGAAAAGTTTCAAAAATGTAACTAAAACGTTGGCAACAAAACATCAAAGTGCTTTTGCTTTCAGTTGGCAGACATTTGACCCCAAGAGACTGACCACTGGACCAGGTAACATGCTTTCTTGAAATGCATTGGACTCGGGCTGTGAGGTGGCAGAGACTCTTCAGCTACCGATCAACACCAAGCTGTTGAATGTTAGACGGGCAAAACACCATGGAGATATTTATTGTGCAGATTTAGTTGTTTGTATAAAGGTCCATAGTGAAATGCCAGTTTTTCCACCTTGTTGTTGTGAAGGATGAGAGGTTATTGCTGATTACTTTTGCACTGCAAACAGTCTCAATGAGCATTTCAATGCTTTTCAAGTTGTGTGTAAAAGAGACGGACCTCATGTAATTCATGCCAAAGAGCTTTTCTGCTGTAAAGCATTTGATTTACAGGTGTCACACAGTCATGGTGATTCCAGAGTTTATACTGTACCAAACTGTTTCCTCTGAACAATAAAGGTGGCTGCCGAAACAAAAATATATTTTCTGGTTTGTTTATTGTACCTTTAAAACCTTGCAGTGAATGATTGTAATACAGTTACATAGTGAGTGAAATAAAGTAGATTTTTCTTCTATTTATATTCAGAGTAAAATTCTGTTCTATTTAGAATGAAATTAGGGTGGAGTTTTTATTTTATACTAAACTGAGTAAATTATCATCATGTAGAGTAAAACATTTGCACTAAACAGAGTATATCTAACTGTGAAAGTATGACTCTGCCATAAGAGTCGATTTTACTCCATTTAGACTGGGACCAAATACTCTTAGAGTACAATTGTATTCAGTTTGAGTGAAATTTACTCAGTGAACTTTACTGTGTGGGCAGCATCAGAGTGTGGAAATGTTTTGCTGTCATCTTCAACAACATCCTAATGATGAAGCCTTAAATACTAATGTGTGAGAATGCTTTCGCAGCAATAATAGTGCAACAGAAATATATTTCCGTCCTCTCTTTAGTAAAAATGTTCAGACCAAACAAAAACATAGAATATCATTATACCAGTACTATACAAGAGTGCAACAACCTCCTCTGCAAACGAAATCATTCACACGCTGACGATGACGATTGTGTTGTACGCTTTCCTCCCTGCCTTCGTTTATGGAGCTGAGCAGAAGTAGATAAACCGTTTGCTTCCCCTGTGTCCCGACATCAATCATTCATTTCAAGGGTTAAAAGCACAAAGTCAATGACAGGAGAAATTCTCTCTCCGTTATTGGCTCAGAGGTGCATAGTGAATGCTTAAGCAATGAAGCCAAGCATAAAGATGATTACTGCACTACCACAGGCCCCTGTATGGCCACATTGTTCTAATTACAAATTCTTCTTCTCTTAGCAGCTGAGAGATTAACTGACGATGACTGTCAGACTGTGTGCAGACTGGATTTCTTCCACTCGCTCTGCCATTGCTCAGTGTTATAATGACACATAGTCTGAAAAGATTATTTGTGCTGACAAAAGGCCTCCATTGACACTCCTTTATTCCTTATATCTCTTTCAGGGAATCACAGAGACAAATGTAACACCTTCAGTATTGAAAACACATAAGTCTTGTTTTAAGAGGCTTGTGCCTCAGACAAAGGCCGAGGCTTTTATTTATTACCTCAATCTTTGTTTGGTTAGCTATGTCTTCAGCAAAATAATAGTTTTATAGATTGGCACTGATACATGTTTTAATCAGTGATAAAGTGATGAAAAGCTGCAGAGGGAACATGGAGGCCTGCTCGGCTCTAGTGCTGGCCGCTGCACTTTTCCTAACTATACAATTCAATTCCCTCTGCAACTCGTGTATTGTATGAAAACAGTACAATGTGTCGTGGTTTGGGTTTTTTGCACTGTAAAAGCAGACTAAACTTTTCAGTTTGCTGACTTTACAAACCAAGTCTGCACTGCAAAGTTTTTTATTTATCTGGTTAAATATTATAGTGCAAGTTAACTAACAGACACATTCATGTATTAGTTGCAGCATCACAGCAAAATCATGAATCTTAAATGGATTTAGAGTTTTATTGCAAACTCTGTGCACAACTCAATATGTAGAATAGACACCACAAACAAACACAATGTGAATAGCTGAACCTTTGAATACTCAGAACAGAAGAACGACAACAATGATGGGGAGACGCACTTTAGCTCTTCGCTGGTTGTGCTTTCAGTATTATTATATCTGTGTGCTGTCACCAAGAGGCTCTGTCAGAAACACGTCTGTGGTCAAGTCGTACACTGCTGCTGGTCCTTCAGTGCGACACAGAGATAAAGTTTTACTGCACAATGGTTATGACACAAAAATATGTTTTTATATATATATATGTATATCTCAACCTCATGGTCAACTCCACTACTACCCACTTTATGTTCAAACCCACATTTTAATAAATCAGTGTTCAACTTACAGGAAGTGTCAGTAAAAGGTAAATGGAGTGGTTCTTATCGCTTTTCTTCTCTACCTGAATCCTCAAAGTGTTTCATATAACTTGTGTGATTCAGAGAGGTGGCAGAGGGAGACATGCACACTGTGGAGTTATACTGTGGGCTTCTTTGTGTAAACTGTATTGTGTTATAAATCCCCTCTGAAATATGCATTCATGCATTACTGCAATACTGAAACACATGTGTGTATATAGCTGTAGGGGAGTGTGTAGCCAAGCCAGTGCTATGTATGCAGCAACCACTGAGCACAGTGCTGAACACAGCAATAAAAATACAGTAGAATACAATAAAAATGAAATAAATAAAAAAAATTCTAAATAAATTGAATCAAAGTTCTAACAAAAATCACCAAAGCCAGACAGAAGAGGAGGGTCTTAAGAGAAATCCGCAGTGTGGAGGCCTCTGTGTAACGGCACCATGACGAACCTGGATCTCGTTCAGCTGATCTGAAGCTCAGGTGTCGCAGCTCAAAGGGATCAGGTTGGCAAGGCTGTTCTAAAGTTATCCACTGAGCACTAAACTGGACCAGTATGCTTCCTTTCTGTGTAGCAGGTCACAGCTGTGTGGCTAACACCAATACAGAGTAGTCCACCCGAGTAATGATAAAGGCATGGATTGCTATTTTAGAATGATCTGACAACATGTTTGTTGTCTCACTTCAAAGAAGCTGTGTGTTACCATCGCACGGATCTATCACATCGCTGTCCTTCCTAGAATCCAGTGACATTAAACGGTGACAGGCTTCAAACTGTGTACAGGAGAGCATCCACCAGTGACACCACAATCACCTCTTTCTTGTTTTAATTCAAATTCAGGAACTTTGGAGCCATTCGTGCTTTGAGTTCCTTAACTCAGTTAAAGTCTGTATGGAGTCAGCATCCTGCTGTTTGGCACATAAACCAGTGAGAAACACCTCATGTAACGTTGCATCAGAGCACACAGCCATGATGGTCGGAGGAAATGAAACATCTGTGAATCAGGAGGACGTTTTGTGTTTCAAAGTAAAAATGACCCTGGCTGAGTCAACATTTACTCGTACACGACGACTGATTCTGCTTTCTTAGCCGGATGAAGAGTCCTGATTTTAAGCTTAATCTTTGATACAGAAATCACTTTTTGTCTGCATGAAGCCTTTTCTGCACTTTAGTTAACTCAGAGTGATCTCCAGGCTCTGCACCTTTCAGAATTACTGCCACTATTGTCTTGTGTGGAAACATCAATCTTTTCTTTAATAGTGTCTCATTCATTCACATGCCATCAACACAAAATGAAGCCGTAATTACTGGCCTTAATTGATGTGGCTTTACCACCTAAGATGATACTTCAGAGCTTTCTTCCCTTTCACTGTATAGGGCCCACTGCTGTTGTTTGCACTATATTTCTGCAGCTATTGATCACTATTATGGTAAATCCAATGGCCACAATGGAACTCTGTCAGCAAAATGCAGGTTAATTATCTCAGGGTCAACCACTTTGGAGTCTTTACAAAGAATTAGCTATTCTCTTTACACCTAACAATAAATGCAAATAGAAATTATTATCAGAGCCCTTTTATTTTGCTAATAAGGGGGCAGGTTGCTTTTTGTCTGGAGTATATTTGTAAAGTTTTCATTTATCTGTTATTCTGTTGTTGTTTTTCTCTCATGTTTTTTCTTGTAATTCATGCCTGTTACATACAACACTGTTTCCCCCCAAAACTTGTAACATTGTGTAAAACAGACAAAAATGAAAAAGGAGCATCAAGTAATCTAAAACCTGTTTTCCTGATCAAACATCTCACAAATAAATATAAATAAATAAATATGTATATTATGACAATATTACTAACATTTCCCAATCGATGTGTCTTTAGTGTTGTTAAAGGAGTGTTGTTGACCAGGAGGGCCTAACTGGCACTGTGGGATTTGAAACTGTAATGGCTTATTGTGTTAACAGTGGTTTTCTGGGTGACAGTGGGCCCAGCAGTTATGACTTCATTACCATTTTTTCTTGTGTAGAGTAAATTTATTTTACTTCCAGTGAATAATGGCACTAGCTGTCATTTTCTCCCCATGTTGCTGAGATGCTTGTAGCCAGTTCCAGTCTTGGTGATTTTACATGATGGTTAGTTTGAAGATTACACAAATTCAGGGGCCACGTGTAATTAACTGTGAATGCTCACTTAGTAACTGTTCATTTTTAAATTGTTACAGATGAAAATTTTGTGTAATATACTGATTTAAAATCTTGCTTTAGGGGTACCCATTTAAAGCTTTGTCTGATTAGATGTTGTTACGCATGGTGTTTTTCTGCAGGCTAATCTGTGTACTTTATGTAATGACAAACCTTTAAATAACGACTTATTTTCAATTCAATTCAATTTGATTCAATTTTATTTATACAGCACCAAATCACAACAACAGTCGCCTCAAGGCGCTTTGTATTGTAAGGTCGACCCTACAATAATACATGCAGAGAAAACCAACAATCATATGACCCCCTATGAGCAAGCACTTTGGCGACAGTGGGAAGGAAAAACTCCCTTTTAACAGGAAGAAACCTCCGGCAGAACCAGGCTCAGGGAGGGGCGGGGCCATCTGCTGCGACTGGTTGGGGTGAGAGAAGGAAGACAGGATAAAGACATGCTGTGGAAGAGAGACAGAGGTTAATAACAGATATGATTCAATGCAGCAGCCTACGTCTATTGCAGCATAACTAAGGGAGGATTCAGGGTCACCTGGTCCAGCCCTAACTATATGCTTTAGCAAAAAGGAAAGTTTGAAGCCTAATCTTGAAAGTAGAGATAGTGTCTGTCTCCTGAATCCAAACTGGAAGCTGGTTCCACAGAAGAGGGGCCTGAAAACTGAAGGCTCTGCCTCCCATTCTACTTTTAAATACTCTAGGAACAACAAGTAGGCCTGCAGAGCGAGAGCGAAGTGCTCTAATAGGGTGATATGGTACTACAAGGTCATTAAGATAAGATGGGGCCTGATTATTTAAGACCTTGTATGTGAGGAGCAGGATTTTGAATTCTGGATTTAACAGGAAGCCAAAACAGGAGAAATCTGCTCTCTCTTTCTAGTCCCTGTCAGGACTCTTGCTGCAGCATTTTGGATTAGCTGAAGGCTTTTCAGGGAGTTTTTAGGACATCCTGATAATAATGAATTACAGTCGTCCAGCCTGGAAGTAATAAATGCATGAACTAGTTTTTCAGCGTCACTCTGAGACAGGATATTTCTAATTTTAGAGATGTTGCGCAAATGGAAGAAAGCAGTCTTACATATTTGTTTAATATGTGCGTTGAAGGACATGTTCTGGTCAAAAATGACTCCAAGGTTCCTCACAGCGTTACTGGAGGCCAAGGTAATGCCATCCAGAGTAAGAATCTGGTTAGATACCATATTTCTAGGCTTTTCAGGGCCGAGTACAATAACCTCAGTTTTATCTGAATTAAGAAGCAGAAAGTTAGCGGCCATCCAGGTCTTTATGTCTTTAAGACATTCCTGCAGTTTAACTCATTGGTGTGTGTTATCTGGCTTCATGGACAGATAGAGCTGGGTGTCATCTGCATAGCAGTGAAAATGTATGCTATGTCTTCTAATGATGCTGCCTAAGGGAAGCATGTATAATGTAAACAGAATTGGTCCTAGCACTGAACCCTGTGGAACTCCATAATTAACCTCAGTGTGTGAAGAGGACTCTCCATTTACATGCACAAACTGGAGTCTATTAGATAGATATGATACAAACCACTGCAGCGCAGTACCTGTAATACCTACAGCATGTTCTAATCGCTCTAATAGGATATTATGGTCGACAGTATCGAACGCTGCACTGAGGTCTAGCAGGACAAGCACAGAGATGAGTCCACTGTCAGAGGCCATAAGAAGATCATTTGTAACCTTCACTAAAGCTGTTTCTGTGCTGAGCTCTGAAACCTGACTGAAACTCTTCAAATAAACCTCTGCAGATGATCTGTTAGCTGTTTGACAACTACTCTTTCAAGGATGTTTGATATAAAGGAAGGTTGGAGATTGGCCTATAATTAGCTAAGACTGCTGGGTCTAGAGATGCTTTTTGAGTAAAGGTTTAACTACAGCCAGCTTGAAGGCCTGTGGTACATAGCTGAATAAGATTACACTTGTTTCATAGTGTAATCTTAACATGCTTTATCTGAAGCAACCTTTCTGCTGAAGCTGTCAGGGTGCCTGGGTTGTCGACCCAGATTTTTCTGTTTTGCATTATTATTGAACTTTGATTTTGATATTATTTATCATTTCTAGTCTTTTGGCTTCTTTGTTAGTTTTCTGGTTTCTGTCTGTTCTTCAGTTGTTCTGTCTCCCGTCTGCTGTATCCCCTTGTCAAGTCCGTGTCTCTGTGTTATGTTTCCTGTTTTACTTTGAAGTTCGTGTCTCAGGTTATCGGGTTTTGCTTCCCTTGTCTCGTTAGCCCTGGTTTGCCCCAGCCTTGTTTCCCTCCTGTTTCCCATTCCCTCTTTGCTCCCTCTGTGTATTTAAGCCCTGTGTTTTCTTTTGTCTGTGTGTCATCGATGGTGTGTGTTCTGTCTGTCTGCTACTTCAGTTTATTGGTATTTTCAGTCTAGTTGCTTTATGTTCAGCAATAAAGTTATTTTGCCTGTGTGAGTCTGCACTTTGGATCCTCCTTACCACCTCCTGCCTGCACACATGACAGAAGCAGATTCTATTTATCATATTTACTCATTGTGTCTTTATGGATTTAATAGCTTTACTGTAAGCAGTGCAGCTGCAGAAAGAAACACCTAAGCTAATAGCCCATGCAGTCTGTGTGGGCAAAGGTAGCTTAGCTGCTGCCCAGCAGGTTGTCCTGAGCCAACCGCATCCGGTTGATGGTGGGGAGTTTGTGGTACAGCATCACTTCCTGTTTCTGTTACAACACACAGGGGTGTTTTTGGTTACCTTACCTGTGTAATCAATTTTATAAATACCGTCTTATTTCTATGGACGAGGATTAGAGCCACTGGAAAGAGAAAAAAATGGGAACATCCTATTCTCCAAATTTTGAGATTAAAGTCAGAATTCTGGAAAAAAAAAAAAAGTCTGATGTTTTTCTCAGATTCTGGGGGAAAAAGTCATCCCAGGTTTTTCCCCCAGTGGCTCTAATCCTCACACCAGCCTATCAGTCGACCAAAGACCCAGACAGACTTTTAATTCATTTGAAAGGCTGATGCTTCGCCTCGTCCATCACAGCTGTAAAACTCAGTCACCTGGGCCTTACACAGAGTTTCTGTCTGATTTTTTATCTGATTTAGTTCTGAGCTCAGATAAAATAATTATCTTATCTTAAAAACTTCATATCACACCAACAAAACGTTTGCTGCCACACTGCAGGCTTACTTATTGATTCTAGGATATTTAAAAGTAGGAGGGAGGCAGAGCCTTCAGCTTTCAGACCCTTTTGGTGGAACCAGCTCCCAGTTTGGGTTCAGGAGGAAGACGCCCTCTCTATTTTTATGCTTAATCTTAAAATTTTCCACTTCAATAAAAGTGGAATAGGGTTGGATCAGGTTATCCTGATAGGCCTCGGCTGCTGGGGGATTCCCATAATGAGTGTTTCTTCTCCGCTTGCCTCTTTTTACTATTTGAGTTTATACATCTCTTTGAATTTAATCATTGTTGACCTGTGGCTGTCTTCCAAAGCATGTCTTTATCCTGTCTTTGTCCCGTCAGGAACGTCTTTCAGGATTAAGAACTCCATCTGCTAATAAGAGACTGCTCATTTTTTTGTAGGTGGTTAAATGATGAACTCAGCAGGGGATCAAACACTCATACTGTTCCCATGTATGCATGACTAAAACAGTGTGCACATATCAGGCTTAGAAAAACGTTCTTTTATGTTATATTTCATGTTCCTGTCAGACATTTTCCTGGGTTGGGATAAATAAGAAGGTACAGACACGTATTGATGGAAGGAACCTCAGTTAATGGAATTGATTGTGAAAATAGTGTTTGCTTTCTGCAGGAACTCCGGTGAATCGGATTCCTATCATGGCCAAGCAGGTGTTGGATCTCTACATGCTCTACAAGCTTGTTACAGAAAAAGGCGGCTTAGTGGAAGTCATCAATAAGAAAATATGGCGGGAGATCACCAAAGGCCTTAACCTCCCTACCTCTATTACCAGTGCAGCTTTCACTCTCCGAACACAGTGAGTACAAGAACAGCTCACCGGTCATCTGGGAACTCTGGATGACCAACTCATTATTTTTTATTTTTGCTTATTTTAACGAGTGAAATTTAGATTTATTGTGTATTTTTTATTTTCCTTAATTGCAAAGAAAGAGCTGGGTGTCATAGCATAAAAACATAAAAGGACTATTTGGTCATAAATGTGATATACACTGTTGTATGTTCATTTCAAAATTATTTTTATCTACTTAATCACCTCTTTTCCTCTAAAACTTTGTCTTTGAAGTCAAAATCTAGTCAATATGACGTCTTTCTTCAAATATGTTAAATTCAGAGATTATTTTAGATGAGTGGATCCTTAATGTCCCACTCCTCTCACACACACACACACACACACACACACACACACACACACACACACACACACACACACAGCTGTGTGTGTCTATTTTAGCACTCTGCATCACTGTAAAAATAAAAGGACATCAGGTCCTTGAGCTTCTCTCAGATGTGATGAGAGGTAAGCCGAGGGGTCTTCATTCAGTCCCACCTTTCTCAGCAATTGAAAAAAATGTGACATTAAAACAAAAACAAATAAACAAAATAGTCACAAAAAATCAGGAAATCATTGGCATCTGTTTCGCAGGTATATGAAGTACCTCTACCCATATGAGTGTGAAAAGCGGGGACTGAGCTCCCCTGGCGAGCTTCAGGCAGCTATTGACAGCAACCGCCGCGAAGGCCGAAGGCAGAGTTATGGCTCAGCCATCTTGAACTGCTCTCTTGTGGGAAGCCAAAGCCTTCTGTCCTCACCAAAGATACAGATGTCCCACCTACCCATTCCTACTCACAACAGTGGCCAGATCTCCCAGGTTCCTGTGATCAAGAAAGGTAAGAGACAACAGCAAGGTGTAAGGTGGTGACTAGATTTTACCGTCATTTTATTTCCTGCTTTCTGCTGCATTGTTTACTCAACATGAGTTGTAACTCACGGACCTGATGTCCCTGTTTTTTCATTTGCTCTTTTCCTAATTTGTTATGCTAGGATGTTTATCTCTCTTATATGCATCTGTCTGCATCACAGTCATAGACCTGGTGTTGTTGCTTGACACAACCCCCACCCAGCACACACACACAAAAACACAAAATAAAAATCCCCCTGTGATCAGCTCAAAGTGTTGCCATAAAGGAGAACTCTTGTCCTTTCATTGGGCTCCAAGAAAGCATGCTACATGCTTTGCTCCAGTTGATGCCAACACAACCACAGACAGTTACTGTGAGTCCACTGGGTTTTGTCATAAATCACACCAACACTTCGGCTACCTTCTGAAACAGCGTCAGCAATCATCAGTGGCGTCACTTGCCCTTAAAGCAAACCTTCATACTTCATAACTTCTTACTGGATTTCGCGACACATGCTCTGAAACCTCCACACAGCGCGTCTCTAGCTCTTTCTGTTTGCCTCTGATGGAAACGTGTCTCGTGTTTCGCCTGCGCTGATTCCTGGATTCCCTGGTGTGTGGTGAACCAGCGTGATGTGTGAATATATTCACTGTAAATAAACTGAACTTTGCGTTTATTTACAGTGTTTTTCTGCTTTCCAACTTCCCTCTGTCACTGATATTTCAGATTTCATCTGTAAGTCAAATCCTTTTACTTGTCAGCGAGACCCCACTCCTCTGCTTCCCCTCATATCTGCTGCCATCTACTCTTCACTTACCACTGAACTGTTCCTGCCGTCTTCAAAGTTGCTGCCATCACCCCAATGCTGAAAAAAACAGGCTTAGATCCCAATAATTTTGATAATTTACCATATCTATCAAAAATTCTCTAAAAGATAGTTGCCACACAACTCCACTCATACTTAACTAACAATAATTTATATGAACAGTTCCAGTCTGGTTTTCGCCCCTTTCACAGCACTGAAACAGCGCTAATACAAATACCCAATGATCTTCTCGTGGCAGCTGACTCTGGTTTACTCTCCATTCTTATTCTTCTCGATCTAAGTGCTGCTTTTCATTCTCTCACTCAATTCTCCTCAGTAGGCTCGCCTCCATCGGTCTCTCCCATATCCCACTAGCCAGGTTTAAATCACTCAGTTTATTCGACTTAAATCCTTCACTTCTCAGCCCTTTCCTCTGGTCGCAGGCGTGCAGGGATCTGTCCTGGGGCCTCTTCTTTTCATCATCTAGCTTCTTCCGCTTGGACACATTTTTCGTAAATACAGTATTCAGTTTCACTGCTATGCTGATGACACCCAGCTTTATCTGTCCACTAAACCTGATTCTGCTCTCTCCCGTCCTCCCTCACTCCTGTTTAGCTGAACTAAATTCATGGTTCTCTTCCAATTTTCTCAAACTCAATAGTAACAAATCTGAGCTCCTCCTGGTCGGCTCTAAACAAACACGATCCACAACTAATAGCTTTTCTATTACAATCAATAACTCCAAGAATTTCTCCATATGTGAAAAGTCTGGGTGTCATCCTCGATAGTACTCTATCTCTTAACTCACACATCAGTAACGTCACTCGGTCTGCATATTTCCAACTCCGTAACATTATTCGTCTCCGTCCTTTTCGCTCCCCACATGCCGCTGCCATTCTTCTTCATAGCCTGGTCACTTCCCGGGTCGATTACTGCAACTTCCTTTTGGTCTTAGTCAAAAATCTATCCATCAGCTTCAACGTGTCCAGAACTCTGCTGCTCGTATCATCACCAGGACCCCTTCTGTGCACCACATCACCACATCGTTGGGATTCAGGGAGGGGGAGTGTGTGTCTGTGTCAGTCTGCAGCCTCCCACTTCTGCCACCCATCCATCGTGTATGTAGGGAACATCCCTGCAGGACAATCGGGCTCTCCAGAACCCAGACTCCTTGTCAAGAAGAGAGCGTCAAAATGCACTGAGGGACCAGTTGATCTCTTTAGAGAACAAGAGTCCTTTAGAGTTTTTCTACAAAGTTTAAACGACGAATTAAAGAATGAGTTAGCTGCTAAGGAGTTAGCCGCCTCGCTGGATTGTTTTATTGCAATGTGCATTAGAGAAGATGGCTACATCTGTGACCAAAGAAGAAACAGAAACGCTCTCACTCTCTCCTTCAGCAGAAATACTGTGGAAATGGCCGGAGGCAGAGAGAGGGATCCGATGACAAAGGGGGAGCAACCAATGCAGCTTGGTGGAGTTTGCCTCCCTCTGAGCACAGAAGCAGGTTAATGTAGCCAGAAAGGCAGACTTTTCCCTATCGTGGCTCATGATACGTTCAAAACTCTCATTACACACTTGCTCCTTGTCAGGCGTTGTGTGGAGGCGAGGAGGAAGGAACCCAAACGCAGGTCTCGCAGGTAGGTGAAGACTGGTGAAGGTTTATTATAAGGAGTGGATGAACAGAACAGAGGTAGAAAACGGCTGGCTGGACGACTGACTGACTGAATGAATGAATGAATGAATGGCTGACTGAACTGAACTGAACGACATCATCAATGACACAACAGTGAATGGGTAGAAACAGAGGGCTTAAATACACAGACTGGAGATAATGATAATGAGAGACCGGTGAGTACACAGCTGAACATAATGAACTAATGGGAAGAGGACTGAACATAACGCACACAGACCAAGGCTAACACAATAAAACAGGAAGTGGAACAGGCAGTAGATAAACAGTGAACAAGAACTGAAAATACTGGGTCACCGACCCAGGAACCTGTATCGTCGGGTTGCGTTTAGTGGTTGAGAGGAGGCGGCAAAACACTTAGCAGGGTAGCCAAAAGAATACACACTCACGCTGGCGTTGGGGATTCCAGTGTGTTCTTTAATATACCTTCTCTTCATCAACCATATAAGCCCGGTTGAACGGCTGCAGCTTAACAAACATAGCGCACAGTGTTCGTACAACCCATAACGTTGCAAACAAAGGTGTCTGGAGAGGTAAAACATAAAATCCGTCCCTCCTCATGTACTAGCGTGCAAGCACATGTCCACACCATCACAGAGAGAGCAGAGAGACCAGTGGCACACACTGATGACACCATCAACCCTCGACTTGGGTGTCTTAAAGGGACACCACACCATAGTGGCTGTTACAAACCCTGACACTCCTACACACTCCGAGCATTAACTGACTCCATGGTAGAACGACGCTCTGGCTCTGAAGCTCTTCAAGTAACACTCGATGGACTTCCTGATGTAACTCATAAGATCCGCCTCTCTCTGCGTCTCTTATATTTGTTTGAAGAACTACTTACTCCACTGGTTCTGGGTCACCCCTACCGTTTCCTGATCCTCCATCCTCATCTCCAGACCCATCTGTTCTTCCCATTTAACACAGTCTGGCTGAAGTACTTTGAAAGGATTTGGCACTATCTCTCCCCCTCATAGAATATATGACTCCTCCTTCCCAGTGCTTCACTTTCCACCAGACAGCTGTATAGCTTGTCTAAACCTGAATGGGGGGTGGGTGGTGAAAAAATACTCATTAGCTGCAGGCATCATCTTCCTCTACCCTTGGTTCTTGTTTTTTAGTTGTCAAGAAGAAAGACAAAGCCCTGCAGCCCTGTATTGACTTCCTCAGGTTGAACAAAATAACTGTTATAAAAATATACACTGCCTCTACTGGCATTTGCTTCCAAGCTGTTACAGGGAGCCACCATTTTCATCAAACTAGAACTTTGCAATGCCTATCATCTGGTGTGGATTAGGGAGGCGGACGAATGGAAGACAGCCTTAACATCCACCTGGGCCACTTTGAGCATCTGGTAATGCTAACACTGTGTTTCATGGTGAACAATGTCCTCCAGAATTTCATTAACCATTTAGGTTTTGTCTATGCAGACAAAATCCTGATCTTCTCCTGGTCCCTCCAAGAGCACGACTCCCATATCCTGAGTGCCTCCTTAAAAACAAACTGGTTAAGTGAGAGAAGTACAAATTTCACATTGACACAGGTTCTTTCTTCCGGCACATTGTTGAGATGGAACACCTCAAACCTGAACCAGCTAAGGTGCAAGTAGTGATCGACTGGCCAGTTCCAGTTAACAGAGAATAGCTAGAAAAGTTGCATCTGTTTGGGTTTGTGAGCAGGCTTCCACCTACACCGCTCACCCATAGTCCCTTATAGCTCTTGACCTTTGTCACTGGTTAACTCCTCTAGGTAAATAACACAGCAGTACTTACCACTATTGATCACTTCTCCACTTTGTTGCTCTGCCCAAGTTTCCCTCTGCATTAAAGATCATGCAACTCCTCCCCGACTATGTTTTCCGGCTTCCCTCTGGACATAGTGTCTGACTGCAGAATACTTCTGCATTCGCTTCACAAGTCTGATGAGAGTTCTGCACTGCACTCAATGCCAAGGTCAGTCTGTTCTCTGGCTTTATCCTCAGACGAAGGATAAGCAGCAAATCAGGTATTGGAGGCCGTCCTGTGCTGCATTGCTTCTTCTAATCAGTCCACTTAGAGCTCCCAGCTGGCCTGAATAGAATATGCCCATACCACGCCTTCTTCATCAACCGGACTATGTCCCTTTAACCCCTTAGCAGTCCTATTAGTCCCCTAAACCATCCAATGTCCCGTGGGCGGTACGTCCGACTGCTAACAGTTTAAGTCATCTCTCGGATACCAGCCTCCACTCTTTTGATCTGGTGAAGGTGAGCACTCAGTCCAACTGCATCTCCGCAGATGCCGCTGCCTCTTGAAAGCCACCTGTGCCACCAGGAACAAAATAAGCACCTAGCCGATCGCAGCAGAATCCCAGCTGCCATCTACTGTCCTGGTCCAAAGGTTTGGCTCTCCACTCATGGTTTTACCCGTCTTTTCAAAATACAAACAACTGCCCCCTAAATTTATTGGGCCTTTAGAGTTAGATTCCATGGTTAACCATGTGCCTGCCCATCTCAAATGACCCCACAACATAGAAATCCACAAAGTCTTTCATGATTCCCAATTAAAATGTGTTTTTTCCAGTCCGTTGTGCCCATCCTTCAGACCACCACCACCAGCAGAGTCATTGATGGGCAACCTGCCTTCTCAGTTACATGGATTATGGATTTCAGACACCACGGGAGAGGCATCCATGGATGGAAGGGATACAGCTCAGCTCCGTCCTGGCTTCCACAGGCCCCAGTTCTGGATAAAAACATGATTAGGAAGTGCCACTGCCGGCGGGGTGTGTACTGTCATGGTCCCTCAGTCCTCCCTGATTGATTTCTTTGGGTTTGTTTTCTATCTGTCTCTCTGGCTAAGCTTTCTCTCTCTCCTCTGTCTGTGTGCATGGGTGAGACCTGACACCCCTGGGGCAGTCACCCTCCTGATCCCAATGATCTTATTAGCAGCCACTGCTTAAAGTAGTGGCTGGCTGCTGTTCTTTGCTGTATGTTGAAGTACACAGTTAAGCTGTGGCTCTTTCTCCTCCATGTGTTTGTCCTACGCAGATTCCTGGATTCCCTTCCCTGGCGTCGTGAGCCAAATGGATGTCCCTTCCTCCCTGGACCCCTGGAGCACGATTCCCCTTTTGGATAGTGTTGTTGTGTAAATATATGCACTGTAAATGAACGCACTGAATTTTCACCTTCTGAGTCATGTACTTGAGTCCAACCTGCTCTTTTGGGCTGCAACTCCATATTTACAATAGCTTTACAATATTATATATTAATATTATTTCCATAGTGGGCAGTGGGCCTCTTTAACTATAGTCACTGCGGTTCACAACATGTCACCATACACATGGAGCCTTGGGGGGCAGGTTCATTACCCAGGGGTTGGTGGGTGGGGCTGCTGCAGTATTCAGCCATTCACTGCTACGTGCATCTTAGACATTGGTACTGTTGGAGGTCGAGATGTCCTGGATCTTTGTCTGTGTGCCTCTGGCTGCGTGGGTGGGGGGTTATTGTTGCCTCCAACACTCTCTCACGCCACAAGAAGATTGTTGATTTGTGTATCTGTGCATTTTCATCGTTTTCTTTTCCAGGTACTGTGTTTTTTTTCTTTCTTTGTTTTGTTCTTACAGGTGCAGCAGTCTGTGATACATCGTGTTTTCCTATTTGTCTCAATCCTTTTATTTTATTTCTCCCCGTTTTGTTCTGCCTGTCAGTTTTATACTGTAATAACTGATACAACACTAAAGATACTTTTTCACTACACTTCTTTCAGCTGCAGGCTGCTGGTGGGCTGTGTGCTGCACGGCCTTCCTGTGATACTCTGCCACATAATGCAAAGCCCAAAACTTTTACTTAAATATACTTCAGTAAATAGAAACAAACAAATACAAATGTGTCAGATTGTTGTGAATTCATCTATAATGTAAATCCACTGAAGAAAGAAAAGGAAGCAATGTATCAAATATGAAATGTTTGTTCTTTATGTGAGCAACCAAAGAGGATCTATTTATAGATCACATTTTTAATAAGAACTATTGTGTCAAATCATTTATGTGTTAAAATGAAATTTGGACAGGTGATTAGAGGAGCCTGTTTTCATCAGTATGTATGTAAATATTGTATAAGAGCAGGGACAGATCATATATTGGCTTTTTTGTTGGTTTTTTCCTCCAGAGGAACCCATGATTGCCAGCTGCCTGTCCAGGCAGGTGGCTCTGCCCATGACTCCCAGCAGCCATCCTGCTGCAGCCATGGCCGTCCAGACAGCCGCTCTGGAACAGCTGAGAGAGAAACTGGACAGTGGCGAGCCGCCACAGAAGAAGATGATGATGGAGCAGCAGAGGATCATGCAGCATGCCCTGCAGCAAAACCTGCTGGCGATGGCCTCCCAGCTACCCCTCAACATCAAACTTAACAACAGAGGTAAGAACAGTCATTTAAGGTTTGAGTGCATGCTCTTTGGTTGGTGTTGTATGTGCGTCTTTGTCATTTCTTCATTTCATTTTCCAGTTAAAACCAGTTTAAGTAAAGTCTTTAATTTCACAATGTAAACTTCTAAATTTCCAAAACAGTGTTGAGGGCATGACCTCTGTGTCCTGTCACAGCCGTCTCTTTGCGTGGCTTTGGCAATGAAACTTCTAAGGACACTAAAAAGGGTCAATTAAGATGCTTCAGATGCTCGTGGATATAATACTATCTAACGTAATCTGCTGTCCACTGAAGCCTCTGCAAGAACCTAAATGGACAAAGAAATAGATTTCCTATAGCTTAGCACTGTTGCAGCCTGTGTTCCTTTTATTGTCGCAAAGAAATCCTACAATTAGATGTTTTAGTTGTGTAGGTCGTTCCTTTCCATTCACACACATGATCACGTTTAAATGTGATATTTTACAAAATCCTGACACAATCTGAAGTATTTTAGTAACAAAGCGTTTAACATGGCGCAGGGTCGTACTCACATGGTGTTGCTGTTAAAGGTGTTTTGTGGCACTACCAGGTGACGTAGCCCCAAACAAACACATTTATTAACATTTGTCAGGAATGATGAGTCCAGCTGTTTTAGGACATTTCTGAACCTTGAACATGGAGACACGGTAAGAGGTGGTTAGCATGAATGAACATTTCACATAACAGATGTTCACTCAGATGGGAATTTAACTATTGTTACTAATACAGTGTGATCTGCTCACTTTATGTTTGTAGAAACATATTTGAGGCTGATTTGAGTGTAAATCTGAGCCCAACTCAAAAATGTGTCACCAACAGCAAACGGTGAAATACCTGAACCACTAACATGCACAGAATTCATCATGTAACACGTCATTACAGACTCATCAGACTCGAGATGTTTTTCTCGTGCTGATCATGAGTGAGTGCGCCCTCCTGCCGCGGATTCGGCTGCAGCCAGCACGGCTCATGAAAATCCATAAGTCACATATGACTTAATGATAGCGGTTAAAGGAAGAATGAGAGGCCCAGCTACTCAAGTGTGATATCATTTCTGTGTGCACCAGTGCCTCGCACATATTAGTCATAATAGCTGCCTTGAATTTGATAGGTGATGGAAGAATGAGGTTAATTCCCACACCGGCCATCCAGCTCTGTCAAAAACAAACCCTGTTATTTAAGATTACACTGAAAACTATTATTATTGTCTCTCAAATGGATAAATTTGTGTTTACAGATGTTTTAGTGCAGCAGCCACCAGCTGAGATCACCGTGTGCACAGCTCGTCTGTTCTCAGAGGACGATTTTGTTCAGTTAAAAGTTTATTTTATTTGCTTTCAGGTTTTGTTTTAGAGTACTATTGACACGCTACGCTTTCTTTCTGCTGGTTTCCGTTCTGAAATGGCAAAAGTTAACGACATTTCTGTCATTTAAGAACCTGGCCAAGTTTTCCGACTGTGTTGTGATAGGATTCATCCATAATTGACATGCAGAAATAGCTGTGCCATCTTTTGACAGTTCTTTCTCCCCAGAACTCTTTAATAAAGCTCTCCTTATCCTGTCACTCTCTGAATTATCACCAATACTCTTCTTGCTTCTTCTGTTCCTTTTCTAAATGCTCATATTGAGTTTTTTTCTCTCTCCTTCTGTGCCCCTTCTCTTGACAGATGATAGACAAGAGACTGCATTGAACCTGTCTACCAACGGCATTAGCAGCATCAACATGTCAATAGAAATAAATGGAGTTGTCTACACAGGTAAATAGAGGGGCCGTTTGCTGATGTAATTGCAGGCAGGAAATTCAATAAGTTATAGGAGCACCCTGGTGCTTAGTCCTCTACACAATTTGATGTCTTTGCTATAAAATCCATCGTAATGAAGTGGCAGTCCAATAGTGTTAAAAAAGTTAAATATCTCAAAATTGGGCCTGTGAATTTGAAGGTTTATTTTCTGTGTGTGTGTGTGTGTGTGTGTGTGTGTGTGTGTGTGTGTGTGTGTGTGTGTGTGTGTGTGTGTGTGTGTGTGTGTGTGTGTGTGTGTGTGTGTGTGTGTGTGTATACAGAGCTTGTGCCTTGTAGTATTACTGCATCTCTCCTTTAACATAGCCCATTCATATCATCATGCTATCGTCTCTAAGCTCTCTGAAGTTCTCCACAGAGCTTCCAGCTGCTATTCTCAGATCACTCTGTGGATCCTCTTTCACTGGACCTCAAACTTGTACAAAGACCAAAGATCAACTTGTGCTTCAAACTGGCCTCTAACATATCTGAAGGATCGTAGCTGGTGAGGGGTCCCTGCTAACGGGTCATTTGCAATTACCGGTAGATTTCAGTGTCCACAGTGTCTGCCAATCAAGTGAGAAGCAAAAATTTGCTATTTTTTCAGCACTGAACAGGTTGAATGTGTCACTGCAGTCTCACTCTGCTAAATCTTGTTCAATTCAGTTTTATTTATACTAGAGATGGACCGATCCGATATTACGTATCGGTGTCGTTCCGATACTGACCTAAATTACTGGATCGGATATCGGAGAAAATAAAAAATGTAATCCGATCCATTAAATATCACGAAAGCACCTCACAAAACTTGCAACATGCCGTAACTCCCTCAGAACGTTGCACGTCGGAGCAGTATGCATCACGTGATAGAGCGCATGTGGAGCTTCTCTAGCATTTCATCTCCGACAAAGTTATCCCAAGAGAAGTAAAGCAAGTGTGTAAGTCCATCTCTGAATGTTTGTAAAGCATTCCTGCATTAACAAGCGATATATGGAGCGACTGCCTCTCTCTCTCTTGTTGCTACTTCAATCATGAAACTGATCAGATGATCAGCTGATCGTCTCTCTTGTTTGTTTTTGCCCACTTTGCACAGAAAGAGGAAACCAGCGGCTGAACAACAGCAGCACGTTTAAGCTTGATCAGCTGTTGTTAGAATGTATTTAATATTACTTTCTACCCGAGGATCTTTTTCTACGTAGCTGACGGCTGGTAACTGTGCAGGGGCGGATCTAGCAAAGTTTAGCCAGGGGGGCCGATAGGGCATTAACAGGGAAAAGGGGGCACAAAGACATACTTTTCTTTCTTATTCTCATTTAAAATGTCTAGCTTTTAATAAATAATTATCTGACACCCAAAGTTTTAATTTGATGTAAAATGAATAGAAGTCCATTACTGTATATAGTAACTATTAAGTCTAATATATATACCCTAGTAAGCTATAGTACTTTTTCCTTTGGGAAGGTACCATCTGTGCAGTCTGCAATTTTGTTGAAGAAAGATGTTGAATCTATTTAATATTTCTTGAAAAATAATTGATTTCTGTGCATTTTTTTTCACACTGCATCAAATTAAGGTTGATTACGTCGATTAAGCATCATGAGGTGGGCGTGAGGGGTGGTTCCCTATTTTTTATTTATTTATTTTTGTTGTTGCTGGGAGTTGGAACCCTATTAGTTAGGTTGCTTAATATTTACGCTAAGTACTCTTTAAAATACCAGAATAGGGAGATGGTGTAGGTTTAAGTTTATTAGATTGATCAGTATTGCTGAACTATGAAATTTTTTTTTTTGCATACAGGTATAACAGAATAGCTTTAGTGTAGTTGTTGTTTTAAACTTGAGTATGAACTTATACAAAATGCAGCAAGATATTTAAAAAACAGTTTTGTTGATTAAAAAACACTATATCGGATTCATATCGGTATCGGCAGATATCCAAATTTATGATATCGGTATCGGACATAAAAAAGTGGTATCGTCCTTACTTTATACAGCACCAAATCACAACAACAGTCGCCTCAAGGTGCTTTATATGTAAGGTCGACCCTACAATAATACATGCAGAGAAAACCCAACAATCATATGACCCCCTATGAGCAGCACTTTGGCGACAGTGGGAAGGAAAAACTCCCTTTTAACAGGAAGAAACCTCCGGCAGAACCAGGCTCAGGGAGGGGCGGGGCCATCTGCTGTGATTGGTTGGGGTGAGAGAAGGAAGACAGGATAAAGACATGCTGTGGAAGAGAGACAGAGGTTAATAACAGATATGATTCAGTGCAGAGATAGGACTCCTGCTGCAGCATTTTGGATTAACTGAAAGCTTTTCAGGGAGTTTTTAGGACTTCCTGATAATTATGAATCCAGTCGTCCAGCCTGGAAGTAATAAATGCATGAAGCAATTTTTCAGCATCACTCTGAGACAGGATAAAGGGATGGTTGGCTCAACAGAGCTCTGACTTGTTTGTCAGCCTGGCTACAGTGCTGAAGAGAAACCTGGGGTTGTTCTTATTTTCTTCAATCAGTGATGAATAGTAAGATGTTCTGGCTTTGCGGAGGGCTTTCTTATAAAGCAGCAAACTATTTCTCCAGGCTAAATGATGATCCTCTAAATTTGTGACACGCCATTTCCTCTCCAGCATTACGAGTCATCTGCTTTAGGGTACGTGTTTGAGAATTATACCACGGAGTCAGGTACTTCTGATTAGAGACCTTAGTTTTCACAGGAGCTACAGTATCCAGAGTCGTACGTAGTGAGGAGGTGAAATTATTAACAAGATAATCGACCTCTGTTGGAGGTAGCGTTCAGATAGCTGCTCTGCTCTGTATTATGCACAAAAACAACATTGGTGTATTTTATTTATGGAGCATGATTATTTAATGAATGCTGATAACTCTGAGTAATTTCTTCATGTACATCTACGCTGCATGTTAATAAAGGTGCCTGTGTGAGATCTGGGACACAGTGTGACCAAGAACTCTCTTTTTGTTCTTACTTTATGGCTTTAAAAAATATCGAGATATATATCGTATATCTCCATCCAGCTAAAGAATATCGAGAATGAATTTTGGGTCATATCGCCCAGTCCTAACTACTATTGCTGTAAGTTATGTCAGATTATTCCTTTTGCTTGTTAAAACAAACAAAACTATGTTTTTGTCAGCCTGTGAATTTCATTCTCTGGTCAGATCCAACACCCACTTCATCTTTTTTGATATTACCTGTGAGGGATACCAAAATAAATCCTTTCGTGCTTTATAAAAGCGTCTGAAACAAACACACTCTGAAATCTGATGTTAGGACAGCGCAGAGTTCAAGGCTAACTTGGGCTTGATGTTTCTTCACAGGCGTCCTGTTTGCTCGGCAGTCGCCCATAGCAGGGATGGCAGGACACCATGGGAAGCATCATGGCTGTCAGACTCAGGGAAGAAGCAGCCCTACAAAGTTCCAGCCCTCCTCATCCTCCTCGTCCTCTTCTTCTTCTCTCCATGGACACCGAAACACCTCCCCCTGACCCTCCACTTCTTCTCACCTCCCCCTCCAGTCCCAGTGAGAAGAACCATGTTACTAAATCATCAGATTAACTCCAGTTTATTTCAGTGGTGGTTTACTCCACATCCACAGGTGAGCAAAGCACTGATTAAAAAGCAACTGTTGCATATAGACATCTACCTGCCCCCCACTTTTAACCTGTGTGACAGAACATTGTTCATGTCCTCAAACACATCTAGTTAGTGTGGAAAAGTTCACTCATCAACTCAACATACCACCACAGTGAGCCAAAGACTCGTACCCCCGCGCTGAAATGATGTTGCAGCTGAAACCGTGGTTTTGATTTTTGTAACGTTGTGACAAACCTCAGAAACGGACTGTTTACAGTGGATACATGAGGGACTGATCCAAAAACAAGAAGCACATCAGAGGTGAAAACCATCTGGTTCATTAGATAAACAGATCCTCAAAGACTGGTGTTCGTTCACACGCTGGAGTTAAAGTGATGTGTTTACTTTCCTCTCTACTGCATGGCTCTGTCCACCCGCTAACAGTCCTATAAGCACAGCGTGTCTCAAAGCCATGTTGTTCACAACACAAAGATCAGCTACACAATTCATTTGAATAATTCGTTTGTTAGGTTTCCCCAAACCAGCTGGTACCAAACTAGCAATAGCCTGAGTTTGCTGTAGTGTATAATAATATGATAGCTGCCTAAGGTGTGTACTATGTAAGTATAATAACCACTCCAATACGTATTAAAGCTGCATCTTGACACTACAGAGAGCCTCAAATTTGGGGAAATCCCACTGTAGCTGTTCAAGTGCAAAGAGCTGCTGTTCAGTGTGTTTGTGTCTCCACCATAACCAGAACACGTCTCCATCATGGGATTCATCGTTTGTTTAGTAAATATGTAAACATAATTAGAAAGCAGGCGTGTTTGTGTCCTCTCTGCTTTCAGGATGTTGGGCACAGCTTACATTAAAGTAATGAACGTGTTGTTCTGAGGGCAAATATTGCACTTTATGTTGAGCATGATTTTCACCCTGAGTAAGATTTTGGAAGCTCTTCTGACCAAACCATACGTGTAAAGTCTGTGCTGAGGTTGATGTAGATATACTGTAGATGCACAGATGGTGTGATGCTGTTGGGCTGACTGAACGTCCTCAGAGGAAACGACTGTGACGAGAACGAGCAGCAGTTCAGTTTGCAGGCAGTAGGTGAGCAGGAGGCAAACAGGTAACAGAGCAGTCATGAGTCAAACGTGGTTTTATTTTGGGTTTCTGTTTTAAAATAATGCTCTGGTGTCTTCATAAAGACCTTTGTTCATCGTGAAAGGCAGTGGACACACGCTGAAGTGTTGTTTCTAGTACGTCTGTTAAAGCAGGTGTATGTTTGATCCTGTATCATCGCTGATGCTTGTTGGCAAAACTTCACCAAACCACCTACCTACAGACAAAGGATCAATACAAAATATACCTCATACATTTACTTTGTTATTACTGTTTTAGTTCAGTGGATCGCTGGGTTTTTTTCACATTTTATATGATTAAACAAGAGACACACATCTACCTCATTCATTATACAACGTGCCAACAATCACGTCTACATGGCAACTTTCATATCCATGTATTTATGAACCAGCAAGTTTACAGAGCTTTTTTACGTTATACCAAAAGAATCCAGATGAAAATGAACAGAAAGAAGAAATGATGGTGGCACAAGTGTAAAAGGTGTTTTAGATATGAATATGTGTTCATGTGATACTTTTTGTGTCTGATTGTAAGAAACTGCAGAAATGAATTTGGGATCTTGCATCTTTCTCAGAATGACGCAGCTTTACATTTATCGTCCATATTTATAGCAGGGAAATTGTTGTAATTCAAGCTGATATCAGCCTAAAATTGTCTCCTGCAGTGCTGACAAACACTAAAGACATCATGAAATGCTATAATTACTTAAACTCCAGCACTCGCATAAAGATGTTTTTGATGTTTATCTCAGATTCACTCAGTTATCATTATGATGCATTCGCTTCAAACATGATCAGAGGACGTTTCAGTGGCTCCGAGCAGAGAACAACAACAGTTTGGAGTATTTGCATCATTCCACGTACAGGCCAGGCTGGGTGATGCTACAGGTTTCAGTAACGTCCCACAGACGACAGAAACATCTGAACAAAATGAGGAAGAACATTTTTGTGTTTGTTGCTTTTTGCCTGTCATCGTTCTTTTTGAGTACTTCACATCACATCTGTTTGGTGAAACTGAGCTGACATTCCCAGATATGCACTTCAGTCCCATCACATTTAGGAATGTTACCCTCAGATTCCTCCTCATTCATTTCAAAGCAACATATGAAGAGTTCGTGGAATGTAAGCATGTAACTGAGTTGTGTCTATATTTCAGATTTAATGATGGCAAAAATGGCAAAGACACAAACGCAGTACAGAAAGATGTGACTCACTGGGAGCTAATGGAGTGTCGCAATCAATACTTTGTATTAAATCAAAAATATAATATCTCTGTATGTTTAATTGTGGGTCCTGAACCACACATATAATTTGTTTTAAACCTTAATAATTCTAAGAACATTCACTGCTACCTGCTGTCGTTTAACTGGGTTTTAACTGTTGTAACTAAACAAATCGCAGCCACGGACACGTGACACTAGCGTGGAGACGCTCCAGGACCAGTGAGACTGTCTCTTTCTTAGCATCCTGTAGGATGATGCCCACTACATCGTTTAATTCTGTTTTATTTGCATCCAAACACAACAACAATGGCCTCGAGGTGCTTCAGCAGCTCAGATAACTGCGTGGCTGAAACATTTCACACTCACTTGATTTTGAGCTCATCGAGAGCAGAGAACCAAAGAGAAAGCAACACCTCCGCATGCAGGAAAAATGTAACCAAATAACATGTATTGTATTTGATCTATGATATGCTCTGCTTGTAGTTTTTAGACAATGACTGCGTTATGAGTTGTGTGCAAAGCTGTAAATGTTTCCCTTTGTTTGAATACATCCAGTGCATTCTGGGACACTGGCGTGTGGTGCTCAGGGGTAAAAATGTGTCAAAAACAGTTGTGATGGATTTTCTGGGTTTACCATTTGACTTGTGGTGCATTTAGAAATAAAAACATGCGTTTAACGCAACCTTTCCATTGTTCTGTACAAATGTTTGTGTTACCAAATGCATTTATATACACACGATACTCCACAATCAGTATCTTGGGTTCTGACAAGCTTGCCTTGTGATGCATCCTGAAAACACTCTCATTATTACTTTTTTATTATTTCTTGTTCTACTGCAAGAAAACAGTGAAAACATTTGTTTCAGAAACAGAAAACTGCAAAGTCCTTTTCAGCAAATGCAGTTTGTCGAGTGCAGCATTAAGCAGGTAAAATGCTGTAAAGATTGGTTAATTAAGACTGAGAATCCTGATGTAATTAGGGGCAGCAAAGATTAGCGGTTGTCAATGGTGCAGCTAGGATTTGCAGTAATAGGTTTATTATTGGGGCTTGCTGAATGTTACTTTATACTTCTGAATAAACAAAAACAAATTAGGAGCAGTCATCCAATAAAGGGTTATCTTGTCAAGGGCTGACAGAAATCCATGCCCCTATAACACAGTGTTAATTTTATGCACCACTGACAAACACAATGGTAATCAATAACAACACTATAAAATAAGGTGAAGCATCACTCTGAGCTGAAGGTGCTGGATGGATCCATGAGCAGAAAAACCATTCTGGCAGTATTTTCGGCGTTCCTCCCGTGCACAGTGTTACACAGCAGGAAAGAGCTCGTCTCTGCTACTGAAGGACGAGCATGTGAATAAAGTGCACAAAAAACTGCTGCCATGCACTCTTTGTAACATCTGTAAAGACAACATGCTAACACAAAGGTAGACCTATTAAACCCTCTTCTGACCTTCAGGAGTAACAAATGTAGTGATGAGTGCTCGAGCTTGCAGTTTCATCTCCATTTCTACATGTTTCTATAGTACAGTATATTGTAAGGTAAAAACCCTACAGTCATACAGACTCAATCAAATGACTCCCTACGAGCAAGAACTCGGCTTAACTAATGAGTAAATACAGAGTGGTGTGTAAGCACATGGTCAAGGGGTGAGACAAGCATGTTGTAGGGTAACTAAGGGAGGATTCAGGGTCACCTGATCACGCCCTAACTATAAACTTTGAACTATAGACGCAGTCTAAGAGTTAAGAGCTCTATTGGGGTCATACGGTACTATAAGGTCTTTAAAGTTAGCATGAACCACTACAAGGCCGATTTACATCATGGAGCCCTGCTCTCAAGAGCTGGATTTAAGAAATCAGTGCTTTTGGAACATGTTTAGCACCATATTCAGTCAGTCAGGAACCTTACACCACTGGGTTGGCTGATTACTGGTGGTCAACATCAGTTTATGTGTTGGAGATTATGTATCGCAATTTCAGGAGCGGGACCACGTCTCCAAATACGCTCATTCCAGTTGTCATCTGTAGAGGTTCCCCCAGTTCTGGAAGCTGGGCATTTTCGTTTAGGTGCCCCACCCTCCCTCCTCGTTTTCAATTCTTTAACTTCTTCCTTTCTATTTAGTACACGGGGATCTGCCAGGCCCGGGAGCCCCCAGCCCCCTTTGAGGCCTTCCCCAAACCGCAGCTCACTTCATGTTAAAGCCATTCACCTTTACCTACCAAAACCTTTACCTACCAAAACACTGTCAAACCTAAGATGATGTGGGCCCAGCTAGTGAAAGCTAATTAATAAAAGAACCCAAAACTCAGCGGAATAGAAAAAACTCAAACTAAAAACCAGTTTAGGGGTCACTTTTGTTCTACCCCGGCAGCAACAATAAGTAAACAGAGCAAGGATTTCATTCTTTCTCTTTAGTAGTAACTGGCTCATCGTTTGGCTAGCTGCCCTGAAACAGGAAAGTCCACCCGTTAGCCATAATGTTCAAGTTGTAAAAAAGGAGAAGAAAATAAGAACAACCCCAGGTTTCTCTTCAGCTCTGTAGCCAGGCTGACAAACAGTCAGAGCTCTTTGAGCCAACCATCCCTTTAACGTTAACTAGTAATGACTTCATGAACTTCTTCACAAATAAAATTTTTATCATTAGAGAAAAAATTACCAGTAATCATCCCACAGATGTAATATTATCTACAGCTACTCTTAGTACCATTGATGTTAAGTTAGACTCTTTTTCTCCAATTGATCTTTCTGAGTTAACTTCAATAATTACTTCCTCCAAACCATCAACGTGTCTTTTAGACCCCATTCCTACAAAACTGCTCAAAGAAGTCCTGCCATTAATTAATTCTTCGATCTTAAATATGATCAACCTATCTCTAATGATCGGCTATGTACCACAGGCCTTCAAGCTGGCTGTAGTTAAACCTTTACTCAAAAAGCATCTCTAGACCCAGCAGTCTTAGCTAATTATAGGCCAATCTCCAACCTTCCTTTATATCAAACATCCTTGAAAGAGTAGTTGTCAAACAGCTAACACAGGGCTCTCAAAATTTCAAAATCCCTGGTAGCCCTTCGGGCAGGGACTCTTCAGTTTTTGGTAGCCCAAAATAAATTTAAGTAGCCCGAATAAAAAAGAGAGCAATTTTTTGATTGATGTTTTGTTTCCTTTACAATATTATACATTAAAGTATAATATTGTAAAGGAAACAAAACATTAATCAAAAAATTGTTGAAAAACAAATTACAACATTGTATAAAAATTACAATCATCAACTCAAATACTTGGTTCTAATTGAACAGAAATTTCTATGAACTTGTAAGAACTGTGTAGGACATGAATCAGTCTGTGTCAGATCCTGAATTTGAAATTTCCACTGAAGTCACGGGTAAGAGACAAGTGGAACCAAGATCGAGGCCGTTTGCTTTTTGAAGTTTGCAAAGACTGCTACATTGTGCCAGTGGTAGTTCACTCTTTGCAACATAGTAGCTGTTCTAAACAGATTTTTCAGGTTTATTTTTAGTATGTTATTTGCAATTGGTGTTTGTTCTGGGAAAGATATTGCAGACTGAGCAATAATGCATTTCTTGCATTTCTCATGGGTTCTAATGGGGGCCTTTCTTAAAATGACTGGTCCCAGTAACAAAGGCGCTTGTCGACTCAGAAATCGAGAGATAACCAGGGCTGCACATAAGTGGTCCGCATGTGCGCATTCACTGTCAAAATAAAAGACGCGCACCAGATAAGAAGTTGCAACGCGCGTTTGCGTCCATATAAAGGCTGTTTTTGTCCTAGAGTGGGATTTTCACGGCACATTCTGCACCACATCTCTGTGCGTTCATCATTTGTTTGAAGCCAGCTCACCTCCTGCAACCACTTTTCCGAAGAATACGCGCTTCTTTTGTGGTTCGGACTCCTTCTGACATTTCTTTGGAGGTGGAGGAACATCCAAGTAATTGCTTAAAGGAGCTTCTTCACATCTTTAAGAGTTCTAAACAAATGTCTGTCCTCCTCCTGAAAATCTTATGTACGCAAACACGCGTTGCAACTTCTTATCTTGTGCGTTTTTTATTTTGACAGCGAATGCGCACCTGCGGACCACTTATGTGCAGCCCTGGTTATTTAGCTCGTCATATTGCAGCCACAGAAATTCTTTTGTCCATGAAACCATAAAGCTGCACTTTCTTTTTGCCTTATAGTCTGATTTGTCATAACTTCTCCGTTTTGTGGTAAGCTTTTCTTTGGCTGTCACTTCTTCACCCTGACCTGTCTTATTTGGCTCAGCAGAACTGAAATATATATCTGTCTGTGAAGGTTCTCAGTCATCCAGGTCATCGTAGTCAAATATAAATCCTGCTGCTTTTACACACGCACTCACATAAGCTCAGCGATTCTCTGCGCGATCAACCTCTCACATGTTTAAGCTGCGGGAGATTTCACTTGTCATGTTTGCATAGTAAGCTAACGATTAATAAGACGATGTCAGAGGAATTGGTGCACAAATTATCATCACTCACAGATCAGTGCTGTCGCTCTCTATACACAGTTCGCACGATTGCAAAGTGAAAGCAAAAAAACAAGCGCAAATTCAAACGCGACTTTCAATATGTCACATATTGACAGTGGCTCACCGATGCCAATGACATAATTACCCAGCTACATTTCTCGAAAGAATGCAAAAGCATTGACATATATTTTTCCTTCCTACAATAGCCGACGGGCAAGAGATAGATTTTGGTAGCCCGACTGAAAAATCGCTAGCCCCGGGACGTCGGGCTAGCGATATTGCAAGCCCTGTAACAGATCATCTGCAGAGGAATGGTTTATTTGAAGAGTTTCAGTCAGGTTTCAGAGCTCATCACAGCACAGAAACAGCTTTAGTGAAGGTTACAAATGATCTTCTTATGGCCTCTGACAGTGGACTCATCTCTGTGCTTGTCCTGCTAGACCTCAGTGCAGCGTTCGATACTGTCGACCATAATATCCTATTAGAGCGATTAGAACATGCTGTAGGTATTACAGGTACTGCACTGCAGTGGTTTGTATCATATCTATCTAATAGACTCCAGTTTGTGCATGTAAATGGAGAGTCCTCTTCACACACTGAGGTTAATTATGGAGTTCCACAGGGTTCAGTGCTAGGACCAATTCTGTTTACATTATACATGCTTCCCTTAGGCAGCATCATTAGAAGACATAGCATACATTTCACTGCTATGCAGATGACACCCAGCTCTATCTGTCCATGAAGCCAGATAACACACACCAATTAGTTAAACTGCAGGAATGTCTTAAAGACATAAAGACCTGGATGGCCGCTAACTTTCTGCTTCTTAATTCAGATCAAACTGAGGTTATTGTACTCGGCCCTGAAAAGCTTAGAAATATGGTATCTAACCAGATTCTTACTCTGGATGGCATTACCTTGGCCTCCAGTAACACTGTGAGGAACCTTGGAGTCATTTTTGACCAGGACATGTCCTTCAACGCACATATTAAACAAATATGTAAGACTGCTTTCTTCCATTTGTGCAACATCTCTAAAGTTAGAAATATCCTGTCTCAGAGTGACGCTGAAAAACTAGTTCATGCATTTATTACTTCCAGGCTGGACGACTGTAATTCATTATTATCAGGAT